GTTTTTTTACAAATTATCCAGTAACTTGCCAGCAACTCTCCAGTAACTAAATTTCTAAGAATTCGCTCTCAGATAAAAAATTTACAAAAAAAGTACGTGAACGCTTTTCCAGTAATAATTTTCAAGTTTCATGAACAGCTGATAAATTGGTTGTTTATTCGCAGCATATTCCTAATAAAACAATCAGGGCTGTCATGGAATCCAAATGTTGTCGGAATTGGATTTAAAAACGACGAAAAAATTACTTTGGTGTCATGAAATCCATTGTTATCGGTTTTATGTTCGAATCGGAATTAGTGTCGATTTTAGGTGTCACAGAAACCAATAATATCGATTTTGGTATCGGAAACAAACCAAGCAGCTAACGGCTCTTGGATTTCATTTGTTTATTAGTTTTTCTTACTTCCAGTTGGACATTTTATAAAAATGTGAGTAAAAGGTTCATTTCATAAAAATAATTGTTAATGTATTCATATTTTTATTCATCACTTTTTATGCTTTCCAAAAATGTCTGGCGCTACTAACGTACCATACGAATGAGTCATGGCTAGAGCCGGGATATAGTGCATCGACCGCTCGAATTTTCATGTCACCATCACAAATCCAAATAAAAATGTACATGCATATATATAAATCAAGGCAATGTACGAGTAAAATGAAGATTCATGATTACTTACAATCAGGGCATTCATACTGAAATATATTCGATTATAAAATAAATGTTCGTCAATACTGGGCTTAATGATTTTTATGTGTGTCCCGTCGATGCAACTAATTATTGAGGGAATTTTGTACTTTAAGTAAAAATAGTCTCTTGATCTGCGTTTTTCGATGCAGTCCATTTCTAGTTTCACCCACTGAGGGCAAATGAACCGCTCCATAACCTTAAGCACATCATCTAAAATCGTTGACATCGCGTTTCTAGCTACACTTATGCTAGAATCGTTCCCAACTGATCTTTGATAGGATCCTTCAGCTAAAAATCGCAACGAAGCTGCTAACTGCAGCACTGGTGGAACTTTCGAACGTGTCAAGTGCCCTTCAATGGTGTCAAGTACCATTCGGAAAGCCTCTTTGTTTAGGTGATAATATGCTATGAAACTGCAAATACGCTATAAATATTTATAAACGCACATTAAAAAACAATCTACTTACGCTGTCTCGGGCAGCTCAAGTGGATCGCCACAATCTCTAAAAATTTTTCTTTTAACCTTCTCGGAACTGTTTTCTTCCAATAACAGCAATGCGACAACTGCGGATGTCATTTTGCGCTCACTTATTTTTATTTAAATTAATGAAAACAATTCAATTTTAAAAAATTTTATCAAAAAAATGTACATTCAAATTGCCGCCGTACACACAAATGTGCAAAACAGCTGATTCGAACATCGGTTTTGTTTATGTTCGAAAAGAGCAAAACCAATCCGGTTTCATGACACCAAATGAAACCAATATTGGTTTGTAATTCCGACAAAAAGCAAAACCGACTTGGATTCCATGACAGCCCTGAATATATTTTATATTTAAATATGTTTATTTTGTGAATTTCCACAATAAAATGCCACAAACAGTTTCCTTATTAGTTTAAATTTCATCCAGCAACATGCGATCAGCTGTTTTTCGTACTGGCAAATTCTTACAAGTAAAAATTTATCCAGTAAAATCCAGTAAAAACTTGCAACTTCAGCTGTCATTTTTCGCTCTCTCAGTTTCCCCTACTTTGCAAGTTTTTGCGTACGAAAACGCCAAAATATGAAAATTCGTAAAAACTTTTACTGCATTTTACTGGAAATGAGTAAAAAAACGCAACTATTGTAATTTCACTATCAACCCAATTCTGAATACTCCCAGGGAGTTCACCCTGCGCCACTTACAAGTAGTGGGAAGGATTTACATTGCGGAGAAGGCTGCGTCGCATGAATAACGCTTCATGTGACGAAACATCAAGCGATGTAAAATCACGTGATAAATAGTCACACGTGAAAAAATCGCTTAAAAAATTTCCCCAAAAGAATTTAAAAAAATAAACCTGGTGTGTAGGGTTTAAATGGGCAAATATAAACTAAAACTAATAGCGGATGATGGAAATCACGTGATGGAAATGTTTCCTCAGAAATTACAGTCGCGAAAATGTGCAAGAAGAACTAAACCTTCTAAAAAATTGCAAGAAAAAGCAGACTAAATACTATAAAGAATTTTTCATTTCATCCCCTGGAGCCGCGATATCACTTGATGGGCTTTTCGCAAAAGATTTAATGAACATTTCGGTTGCCATACGCACCTTCAGCAACAGAAAATGGCATGCGATCTGATGTAAAAAGGCCATCACATCATAAGGAAATCAGAGCACATTGTGCCAAAATATTTGCCGGAATCACAAGAAAAGTTTCGATTCTACGTTTCAGAACTGGAATTCAAAAATCACATGAGAAGTCAAGAAATGATAAATAAAATTTAGTGCCAAAAAGGCTTTGCGGCAAAAAAAAAGCAAAGATCAGAAAGCCATGAAAAAGACTTTGCATTCATCCACCGAAAATCTATCGAAAATAATGGCAGAAAATGTGTCGCATGGAGATTATAAAAAAAAAAATACGACAAAATTAAAAAAAGCATACACTGTCGGAATAAAGTATTGGCACAGCAAATTTTTCACAATATATGCAACAATTTTTATTCTAATGTTTTTCCAATATTGTATAAAAATTTGGTTCATTCTACAACAAAAAGCATAATATAATTCCTTAACTTTGTGCAAAACCCGCGAAAATTCCGCAACTTTTCATGCAAATTTTAAACTTTTTATCTGATTTTTTTAGTTTTTTTGAGTATGTTGTTTTGCAGCCCATTAAATTCTAGTAAAAAAATGCGAGTTCGCAGTAAGTCAAAAATCGCACTGATTTTAGAGAATTTGTTTGTTGAAGGTGTTTTGCGTTTTTTTCATATAAAGTATTTTCGAATAAATTTTTTGTATGGAAGAGCCTGCGTGAAAAAAATTGCCAAAAATCATAGCTACTTAAAACTTGTATTTTATTATAATAAAATTGATTGGGCTACAAATCTGCATACTCAAAAAATTCCAAAAAATCCGATTAAAGTTTAAAATTTGCATGAAAATTTGCTGAATTTTCGCGAGTTTTGCACAAAGTTTAGGAATTATATTTTTATGTTTTTTGTTGTAGAATGCATTTTGTTTTGCGTTTTTTTCATATAAAGTATTTTCGAATAAATTTTTTGTATGGAAGAGACTGCGTGAAAAAAATTGCCAAAAATCATAGCTACTTAAAACTTGTATTTTATTATAATAAAATTGATTGCGCTACAAATCTGCATA